TGGAGATGCTCGTTCATAAAAATTTCTCAAGAAATAAAAAATTCTCTTTGCTTTCTTAACGAAAATTTTAAAGGAAAATTAGGTGATTATGGAAAGTAAATTTCCCTTAAAAAAATATTTTCTCGTTATTTTCATCTAACGAAACGGAGCCTAAAGGAAAGTTTACAAGCTTTAATATTATTCAATAATATAGTGTTTATATGCACTAGTACTATCTCCAAATGGTACGAGGCCTATGGGGTTAAAATTCAAAAACAAAACCGTGTGGAATTAGGCTCAAAGCAGACAATATCATATCATGTGGTGGAGTGGAGTGTTACAAATGGTATTAGAGATGAAACCTAGCTAGAAGTGTGGTCAACAGGAACATTAGACCCCTTAAGGGGGGTGATTATGGCGACCTATGTGGGTGGGTGTAATGTGGTCGAGCTGCCACACTAGGCGACTATAGGTTGCACAATCTCACATTGCCTAGGTAAGGTGAATGTGAAGTGTTTATATGTGTTAGTGACATTTCCAAATGATATGAAGCCTTTTGGTATCATATCTAAGAATAACGCCTTGCGAGCTTATGTCCAAAGCAAACAATATCATATCACGTGGTAGAGTAGGCTGTTACAAAAGGTAGGTTTTCTAAACCCTATTTCTCTCTTCACTCTCCCTTTTGTAAATGCATCAATAGTGTTTTTACTTTTTATTTTTTCTTTTCTATTTGCATGTATCTCTCTATCTTCTACCTTTCTTTTTTCTTTTTACTTTTTACATCTTTTTGGCCCATATCTGTGTGCAAGAATCATTGCTTGCCAATCCCTCCACAGAATGCTGGAATGCCACTAAGTATCACAATGGTTATCTTAGAAGATTTTTATCCTAATTTTTTTTCTTATTCCATTCATGTGTTACTAAACTTCTTTTTGGTTGAGCAATGGAATAGACATTAATTTAAAAGCAAAAGGACGAGAATAGCTTGGAAGAGATTGAAGAGGGTAATGATTGTTTGATGGAGTTTAGAGAACTGATTGAAATAGCACAACTTGATGGCGGCAACATCAGTTTGCATACATTGGGTGCAATTACAATGGAAGACAGTGATGAAAGCTGCATACATCATATACATGGTGGGACCGTAGCTATAGCCATATGTGCAAATTTACGTACTGGTTTTTCTCCATCCATATCACATGGGAATGATCAGGTGTTTGGCACTAATACCACAACACCTAGCACTGCTTTGAGCGTGACAGACCGTGAAAAGTCTCCAAGCATAGAATATCTCCGTCGCATTCCACCTCTTTGAGGGATAAAGATGAAGATGATTTGGAAAGACTTCGCAGACATAATTGGGTAGTTAAATTTTTATACAATTGTCCAACAACAAGAATGACTCCTACTGTTTGTCACCACTCTAATTTGATTTTTTTGAATTCTTGAAGTGGGTCAGAAGAATTTCTTTGTTGTCAATCATGATGAAATTGGGTATTGTCCAAAGTTGCAAAGAGTTGATGTCTCAAATAATTTCTTGCCGTTTGAGTTACCAAGTGAGAATGATATGTTTTTTTTGGAATTAGACAACTAAAAAGCAAGTTTATGAAGCACCAAGGTCAAGTTATCAATGGTATCGAATTTTATTCATATTAATATATGATGAGTCGTAGCGTAACTCGAGGATGAGTTTTTTTCGAAGTGGAGGGGATTAATGTAGAACAATTTTATCTAGTTAGTATTTTTATTTATTTTATATTTTTTATAGGAAATTTAGTTTTATTTAATTTCTTTGAGGAATTATTTTTCTTTTACTATTAAGTTTGTTTATGTTTTAATTTTCTTCTAGAGTTATGTTTTGTATTATTATAGATATGTGTATGGCAAAATACATAATCAACATTTATTCATTCAATTATCAAATAATATATCATATTTCTCTTAATACTCATTCAAAGTAAACCTATTTCTCGTAAACAAATTTATCGATTTCGCTTACGTAAAAAAAATAATAATAATATTACTCGCGAGTGGCAATTGACACGATCCGTCTTTCTACTTCATTCAACACCCGCAAGAAAAAAAATGGGTCTTAAAGAACATTATAAATAAAACTTTTGTTTATCCGAAAATATTTTAAAAGTTTGCCTCAAAGCTCCAAAGTTGGTATGATAGCTTGAGGATCCAATATTTAAATTAAATTCGCTTAAAAAATTATATGAATAATGAAAAAGTATATCACTCCACAAAAGAAGGTTTGTTTGGGTCAGTTTTTCTAATGACATTTTTTGTTTTTTATTTATTTATTTATTTTTTTAAGAATTGAAAATTAAAAAGTTATACAAAAACCTGTTGGATTGATTATTTTTGAAAACTCACTTTAAAGAAATTGTATGCTTTCAATTTTTTTCTAAAACAGTAGATTTTTTTTAATTTATGCTTGAAAACTGTTTCTTGACTAACACACTAAGTAAACCTTATAATTCTTAAATAGATTTTTAAAAATTTCCTTACGAGGTACGTTGGGAAACAATTAGAAGAAGGACAATATTTGGGTCCTTTCTTTGAGAATCAAGTTCATTCTCTTAGCTGATGTGACTCAATATAATTTTAAAACATGTATAAAATTTTAAAAATAATCATTACCGATTTTCTTACTGGTTAAACAGAATCCCAAATTTATTTATTTTGTTCTTTCCAAAAGAATACTATTGTTGTTTCTATACCCAAATTGAAAAATTACTAAATTTATTTTTAAAAAATGTACTATGTCAAGTATGTTATCAATTGAAGGTGTTGGGAACTTGGGAGGGATGCAAAAGATAGATCTAGCTAAAGCTCTATTCAAATATAGGTTGACATCAATTTTTCAATAATATTTTAAGCTCTTTTTTAATAATAACAATCTAACTTCAAATTACATAAGGCAACTCTTTTTATTAAAATAATAAAAGCTTTATATAGAAACAAACAAATAATAAAAAATAAATTCTTAAAAAATAAATAAATATAGGATAGAAACTCAAAATCGGATAGAAATTCAAAATTGGATTAAATTCTTTGTATTTATAATAATAGTATAGAATATACATAGATATAGAATATAGTAGGATAGAACCTCAAAATTATATAGAAATTCAAAACTGGATACAAATTTTTTTACTTTTAATAATAATATAGATATAAATTATTATCTTCCAATCACAAAACAAATGTAATAGAATAATATTATAATTCTTCCAACACTAAAAAAAGGTAATATAATAATGTTACAACTCTGTCCAACACTAAAAAAGATAAAATAATAATATTATAACTCTTTTAAATATTAAAATATTATAAATTCTTTTTCAATATTGTGCTAACCAACGAAGTAATGGTGTTGATTAGTCCAATCAATAAAATTTTAATTATTTTCTTCAATTTTATGTTATCATTTATGTTTCATAAATCTAATAAAAATAGTAAGATGTAGTTTTTAAAAATCATATGCCTATAAAGTCAACATTTGAATTTAATCAGTAAGTTAACAAATGTTCATAAAACACCATAGTATAAATTACTACACTCAATGCCTAAACAATAATCTAAATAAAAATATTTTTTATATTAATTAAAAATAAAAAATCTGAAATCAATATTTCTCTTAAAATTTTCAATCCTAATGGTATGCTTGTACAAAAACAAAATAGACAATTAATAAATTTTTTCGAATTAAAAGACATTATAAATCCTTACTCAAATTTCCTAAAAAAATAAAATATTGGCAACGATTGTACAACAATATTAGCTAGCTGATGAACGAAGCAATGTTTTTGATCAGTCCAATTAATCAAATTTTGATTATTTTTTCAAGTTACTTCATGATACTATATTACTAACAACATAGTATATTACTATTACTCAAGCATAATAACCTAAATAAAAAAGATTTATTATTATTATTAATTGAAAGTAAACTTTGAGATCATTATGTCTTTTTTAAAATTTTCAATCCTAATAGTACGCTTAAAAAAGAAAAAATAGACCGTTAGTAAATTTTTCTAAATTAAAAGAAATTATAAATCCTTACAAAAACTTTCTAAAAAAAATTAAATATTGGCGATGTGCTAATGAATGAAGTAATGGTGATGATCCGTTCAATTAATAAAATTTTGATTATTTATTTCAAATTTACATCATCATTTATGTTTCATAAATCTAATAAAAAATAGTAAAGGTGGTTTTGAAAAATCATAAACATTGAGAAGTTACTTTTTATGTTCATAAAATACCATAGTATAAATTAGCAAACGCAATACAAAAGTAATAACATAAATAAAAATGAGTGACTTATTTATTATTATTAATTGAAAATAAAAATTTGAGATCATTATTTCTCTTTAAAATTTTCAATCCTAACAGTATCTTTGCACCCAAATAAATAAATAAATAAATAAAATTTTCTCAATCAAAATACATTACAAATCCTTACTCAAATTTTCTGAAAAATGAAATATTGGGATGAATGAAAGATAATATTGTGCTTACGAATGAAGAAATTGTGTTAATCGGTTCAATTAATAAAATTTTGATTTTTTTTTTTAAATTTACATCATCATTTATCTTTCATAAATCTAATAAAAAATAGAAAACATAGTTTTTTAAAATCTTATCCATCTAAACTGAACATTTAATTCCATCACTATGTTAGAAAATGTTTATAAAATACCATAATATAAACTACTACTCTCAACAAATACATCATAATAACATAAGCAAAAATAAATTTTTATTTTTTATTGTTATTTGAAACTAAATTTTAAGATCATTTAATTGTCTTTAAAATTTTCAATCCTAATAGTACGCTAGTACAAGAACATCATAGATAATTATTAAAACTTGCTGAATTAAAAGATAAATCTTACTCAAATGTTCTCAAAAATGAAATATTGGCGATGACTGTAAGACAATATTGTAAGAAGTGTAAGTATTGAAGAAAGTAAAAGAGATATATATATAGTTGGAGAAATACGTACCTCTAACAAGCTTAAAGTTTTGTTGGGGCCGAGCGAGTAAGGTGTCTCAATTCCATCAACATGCTGTGGAATGGAGTGAGATTGTAAATTCTCTCTGAAAAAAAACATACTAAGATCTAGAGGCTATAGCTACATAAATCTGGTTTTTGCAAGTAATTATATCTATAAGGCCTCTCTCTTCAATATCTATCTAAAACAAGCTAAAGAATTATTTTGCTAATGATAAAAAAATATAAATAAATAAAACAATAAGCTAAAGACTCCGAACTAAGCGAGCAATTATATATACATATATGTATATATACGGTGTGTGTACATATCTGCAAACAAAAATTCATAAGAACCCTACAAGAATTCGAAATGTTGAGAGATTAATGCAAGAAATCAACTTCGAGCTGAGATAACGGACTGGGTATCTTTTCTTTGAGCTTAAGTTCTTTCTGACAGTCTTACGATTCATCATCAGATTCTTCAGAATTTAATTTTATTTCTTCTGTAGGTTCATAATTACCAAACTGTAATCTAGTCTGTCCATTAACACTGTATAAGTGTGCTGATTGTGGTGCTTCTATCTGTCCTGTTTTTGTTTTCATAATTTTATCTAAATCCCATTCTAATCCTTGTAATGCTAACTGTATTAGCTTGAATTATAGGAATACCTTTCTGACTAAGTATTGCTAAGTTGTTTTCAAAATCTGACTTAGTTCTGACTTTAGCACTCTTAGTTAATCTACCCATAAATCCTATCATTATTAATAAATTTTTCTCTACTGGTTTCATCTGATATCCTACTGACTGTACTGATATTCTTATATTTTACGAAAATCCTTAAATGCTAACATAAAATCTGGTTAAATATAAGTCATCGGGCTTGTTCTTAGGTGGCTAAAACCGGTGCTCAATAAAAACCCAACAAAGATCCACCCTAGGATCACAACAGGGTTACCAAAAGTGCGTATGGCCTTTAAGAAGTAGCGAGTATCCTTAGCATAATGAGATCTATTAAGTTTTCCTTTCGGATCTAATGTTATGTTTAGTGTGCAGGGTTTGAAAGTTAAAATATCAAATAAGAATACAAAGGATTCTAAAATTTTGGGCAAGCATGCTTATAGGATAGACTTTTAGTCTATTTACAAATAACTAAACTACTCACACATGCTGATTTTATATGAAACTATAATAAATTTTGGGCAAGCACACTTATAGGATAGACTAAATTTAGTCTATATACCAATAACTAAACTACTCACACATGCTGATTTAATATGAAACTATAATATAAGAAAACATACTTCAAAATATTATTTCTGAAATTACTGAACTACAAAGACTCAAAGATTGAAGCAAGTTTGCTCTTGAGTTTGTTTGTGCTCTGCTCTAGTTCTCTCTGCTTTCAATCTGAAGACACCGATTTCAAAGGGTTTCAATTCCGAAAATAATTCCGGGTGCTCATTGGGCCCCATCGACGACTTAAAGATAAAAGTAGTGGGGGACAACCCACCGACTCTGAAAAAGAAATGGTCCTTACATTTTAAAGGTGGACCATGTACAACTAGACTCAATTATTCTGGCTGATTGATGCTGACGTCATGCATGATGCTAGTTACGCTGTCTTCTTCTGGCATTGTGACAACTCCATGCAATTAATGTTCAAATGCAGTTTTTGGGAAGCTACCTGAGAGAGAGGAGTGAGTGATGCCTATTGCTTTGAGCTTCTTCAAGTGTCCAAGAATGATGGATGGACCTCAAGATTGGTGAGAATGGAGATATATTTGAGGGCGGTGATGGTGAACGGAGCAGTTAGAGAGGCGAAGGTGTCGTAGGCGCCGGCGTTGTGGGGGCGAGGGTTGAGAAATTATTTTAGATTTTCAAAAATGCACACCCCTCCTTGTATGATTGTAAATAAAAGATGGATTCACGGGGAGAAAGATGGAATGACAGACCCACGTTTAAAAATAATAATAATAATAATAATATTGCTACTTTCTATTAATCATAGTCCAATCCAATGAGTCACAGCTCAGCCTGTGTCCAATTCATAATAAAACAAAATTACATGAAACTTTTTTTTTTTTTTTTTTAACATATATTTAACTCCTACTACTTTGCGAATCCTAGCTCATCCTACTAACATGTAATAAGAGATTCAGAATTACTATAATATTATTGTTTAACTTTTCAGAAAGTAAAAGACGCAACTTGTTTGTATCATATATTGATATTAATTAATTAAAAATATTAATTATTTCAAGTGGGGTGGCAACTGTCACCGTATGCCTTTCAACATCATTTTAGTCGTTCACAACTAAACCAACCACCCCCTCTTCCCAAACCCCCAAGAAAATAATGGAATTTAAGAAAACCCCAAAAGTTTTTAGAAATTAAGATTGTTTGCCAACATTAAATATATTTTATTTTTATTTTTTTGATAGTTAACAAAGGTTTAACTCGACTTCATATGCCGAGACACGTAAAGTAACTTATCGAATATTGATGGGTAAATTATTTTTGTTAAATTTTAATATTATTTTTCTATAAATATTTTACAACCAAACACTAATAAAAAATATATATATTTTTAAAAAAATTATTTTACATCCAGGGAGAAAGAAAACTATTTGTTTAACCAGGAAAATATTTTAAAGTTTGCCCCGAAGCTCCAAATTTTGATATGATAGCTTAAGGATCCAATATTTAAATAAAATGTGATTAAAAAATTATATGAATAATGAATTATGGTGCAAAGAAAATTTATTTGAATTCGAAGTTCTATATTACAAAATTGGAAGGCCGGTTAAATTTTATAAGAATTGTTTTTTTTTTTTTTTCCTCCCCCTAACAACTAAAAGTCATAAAATTATTCAAAAATCTACTTGGTTGAGTATTTTTTTTAATATTGGCTTAAAAAAATCTTTCTTTTTTATTTTATTTTTTATTTTTATGTTTTCTCTTTTCTGAGTTATTGACAATGGTTTTCTAAGTGACAACCCAAACAACCCTTAGAATTCCTAAATGGATTTTAAAAAAAAAATTGTTATGAGAAGAATAAGAGAAATACAGTTCTAAAAGTCGATAGGAAGTAAAACAATAAATACAATAGGAGTGATAATAAAATTTAATGTACAAAAAAAATAATAAAAGTTTTCTCAAATTATCTTAGAATGTTAAAATTGTAAGATATATATTTTGTAATTGACTAATTTCGGTGTCAAAACAAGTTCGATCGAGTTGTATTTTCAAGTTTCAAATTCAAGATCGAGATTGGCTACGGAATTGAAGAGTTGTTTGTGTTTGATAAATTGAGATCTACGAAAAAGGTATAACCAATACTTTAGGAAGTTGAGTTAAAGGTTATGACACTTTACATACATGGTATATTTCAGATTTTCCAAAACAGGAATTTTTCCAAGTGTATCCTTCCTAATCTATCCTTTGGGAATTGGTACCAACTTTTCCTACCAGTTCAAGAACCTTAGCTTCAAATCCGTATTTAATTCTGGACACTCCGAACCAGTTCCAGAAGTGGTTATCGGTTCAGAAGGCTTCTGCATATTGGATATCAATTTCGTGTTCTGTCTAAACTTCCTATTTAGTTTGAATTTCTTTCTAAAAGACCTATGCATGAAATTTACTTCCTTCCTATGCATATGCAGGTCTTTGAAAGTCTATATAAACCTTGTTTTTTATCTAGGTTGATATGACTTTTGCATTAAAACTTCTGATTCTTTAAAAGCCTATTTGAGAGATATTTTGCAGAAAATCAAATCTGATTTTTTTTATTTTTATTTCTTGAACACGCACATAAACACAAGAGTGATTTTAGGGTATTGTTCAACCCCTATCGTGTTCAAAGTTTATTGAATATTGCATTGACAACAATTAGAGAGTAAATCTATTGCGTCTACATCAATTTCAGATCTTGAAGAAAATGGGTGAAGCGATCATACTTTGGAAGGGTCAAAGCATTCGAGGAGTGTTGTTTGATGTATAAGCAATCCTTCTACGGGAATCAAGAGTAAGCCTGGAGTCAAGAGTTGTTGGACGGGACATCGTAAAGCCAAAGGATTGTTAGTAATTGATTTTTGGTAGAATGATAGGGTGTGAGCCTGAGAAATGTCATTGTATTTTATTTCAAATATAATGGATCGTTTTGATCTGGACTATACACTCCATGAGGTTTTTCCCACAACAATTGGTCTATTCTACCAATTGGGATTTCTTCGCTAAAAATTTTGGTGTCATCTCTCAAACTCTATTTACTTTACTTTGTATGTGATTGTTTAATTATTTGCTAAATTAAGTAAATGTAATTAAAATAGAAAGACACTGATTCAATATTTTCTATAAGAAAAACTTGAACTTTCCACAATATCTTCCGTTGCACAAACTCACAATTGGTATTCATAAGTGTTAAAACATTGCACATTTTAGTACCTAGGTTAGGGTATTTTAGTCCATTCATCTAATTTACTTTCCTGTTTTAGTTCTAATTCTTGTTTTTGTGTATTTTAGGTCAATAAGGTTCAAATGAGCTAAAAACAGTCTATTAAGCCCTTTTTGGAGTCAAGCAGAAAATCCGAAAAAAGTTCAGAAAACTGCACTAGAGCATCTGCGATCGATCGCAGATTCTCCACGATCAATTGCACGCCACGTCATCAATCGCAACCACGTCAACATTGGATAAGGCTGTCACATCATCAATCGTCAAAGTCACGATCGATCGAAGCCAATCTGCAATCATTCATAGTGCCAAGTCAGCGCCAGCTCAACAGATAAAATAGCAAGCTGTCAAGATAGGATTGCCACGTCAGATACGATCAATCGCAAAAGTTGGCGATCGATCGCCGAAGTCGACGATCGATCGCAACTCTACTGGCAGTGAGTTGTTTTATTCCCGACTTCGCCTGAATTTCACCTACCAAGTGGCTGTAAGATTGAACCAATTAGAAGGCTATTTTCTAACTTTTTAACACTCCTAGGAGCTTGTATATAAAGTAAAAAGAACCATTTGTTAGGGGTTCCATTAATTTACATAGTTTGTTCTATAAATTGTTAAGGAATTACATAGAAATTCTCTCTCTAGAATTAGGGTTTCTTGTGAAGAAAAGAGGCAAGATCATCATCATCCATAGGGTTTCCACCAAGAAGACCAAAAGGAAAAAAATGGAGCCATGTTTGGGGATTGCCCTTGAGGGTTCCATTTCCACATCTACCTCCCCCATGAGTGGCTAAACACCATCTTAGGGTTTGGATGTACCCTAGGCTTGCTCTCTAAACCCTAACTCTTTATCTTTTGGGAGAATCTATTATTGTAATGAATGCTATAGCCTTATGAATATATGAATCTTGGTTTTTCCTATGATTTGTATGGTTGAATGCTTCCTTATAATTCTCTAGATTAGTTACATGTCGACATGTAATTAATTGAGGATTTCATCTTTACATTAGCTTTTCTATGTTAATTGCATGTCTATGTGTGATTAAATTGGGAATCTAGTGATGGTTATGCATGGATTTCATTTGATACACTTATTGATTAGTATGATGGATTATGTCTATGCTTAATGGATTGTACCACATCTTTTTCTTAATTGTCTTAATTTCCCTGTTTTAGTTTAACTGTAGTGTAATTGCATTTTAACTCCTTGATAGGTGGACAATCCATGCTTGTATTTGATGATCCATGCTTATTGTTACAAGTTGTTTGATTTTCTAGATTAATTAATGTGTATTACAATTGTGGATTAATTGAATGATTTATTTTTTGATTTGATGAGTTGTGCTACATCTTAGTTTACTTGTTGTTAAATGGACAATTCATGCTTGTAATTGATAATCCATGCTCATTGTTGCAATTGATAACACACGTTTTTGTTACAACATTATTCTTTCCCTAATTAGATGAATGCTAATGGTTTAGAGACAAGCTTAGTGGTGATTCCTATGCCCTAAGACCTCTATCATATTTTCACAAAAGTGACAAGGATCTTGGCGAGAGAAACCAGTATATCCTTGGTGTGAGATATAATTTTTATAATTAGCAAATTTTGACGTCAAAACAAGTCTGATTAAGTTGTAATTCTCAAGTTACCATATCAAGATTGAGATCAACTGCGGAATTGGAAGGTTATTCAAATTTGCTAAACTTTGATCTATGAATAAAGTATGAACAACACTTTAAGAAGTTGTTTCCCACTTAGGATACTATACCTACATGGTATATTCTTCAAGTTACCAAAAACAGGATTTTTTCATGTTTTACACTTTCTTCAGAATTCTGTTAAGTGGGAACCGGTACTATATTTGGGAATCGGTTCAAGAGCCATAACTTCGAAGAATACATTCTATCCTTTAGGAACCGGTTCCAAAGTTGGCCACGGGTACCAACTATTGATACAGTTTAGGATTTTAGTTTCCTATTATGTCTAAAACTTCCTACTTGGTTTAGATTACTACCAAAAGTCCTATGCACGAAAATTACATTTTCCTATGCATATCTAGGTCTTTGAAAATTCTATATAAATCTTTATATTCATCTAGGTTGATACGGATTTTGCACTACAACTTCAGAATTCTTAAAAGCCTATTAGAGATATATTTTTGCAGAAAATCAAAGTTGATTTTTCTGTCATTCTTTCTAAAACACACACATAAGCACAAGAGTGAGTTTAGAGTGTTGTTAAAATCTTGATCGTAATCAAAATCTTGCATTTACAACGATAAAAAAAGCAGATCTACTTCTTTTACATCAAATCTAAATCTTGAAGAACAGAGGTGAAATGATCACACTTTGAAAAGGGTCAAAGCATTCGAGGAGTGTCATTTGATATACGAGCAATCCTTCTACAGAGATCAAGAGTAAGCCAGATGTCAAGTGCTGTTGGACGAGACGTCACAAAGGTAGAGAATTGTGAACT